GGAGTCCAAGACCAGCCTGGCAACAAAGTGAGACCTCATCTCCACAAAAGAAAAAATTAAAAAATTAGTTGGGTGTAGTAACACATGCCTGTAGTTCCAGCTATTCAGGAGGCTGAGGTGGGAGGATTGCCTGAGTTGAGGGGTACCAGGTGGCAGTGAGCAATGATCACACCACTGCACTCCAGCCTGGGTAACAGGGCTAGACCCTGTCTCAAAAAAAGCAAATAGTAATAGAAACTTGAGATGGTTAGTATGAATTAAAATATTCAAGTAACTTATGATATTCCTTTATTATTCAGTAAGCATTTACGAACACCTAAGTAAATGCTAGGTACTGTACTAAATATGTGAAGATGACAGAAAATGAATTGTAGACCTAAAGACAGAAAATGAATTTTATACTTAAAGACATTCCTTGTATACAACTTAAAATTGTCTAAAAATAATATATAAAATTTATAAATACAGGGAAATAGCCTGTGTATGCTTTCAATTACATTGAAGTATCTAGTTAACATTTTTACTTTCACATGCAATAATATCCCTATACGAAGACGATAAGGTTTTGCATGATAAAATTTCTATAGTTCAATTATTCTAATGAATGAAAACATTCCCTACTTAAAATTATTGGAACTTATTGGAATTCCCTATTTAAAATTATTGGAAATTATTGGAATTCCCTATTTAAAATATATGCTAGAACATATAAATGATGGGTCAAAAGATCATATAAAACAATAGCCCCTTTAATTTTACACAGAAACACAATTAACATTTATTGGGTGATCATCACCTTCTTTTAAAACTAGCTAGTGGTAACAACTGCACAAGTTTATGTCCTACCATTGGGGCAATTTAGTCATATTCCTATATTCAAATCTTTGTCACCAATAGCAGTAACAAATTCAAGAGTGTGAAAAATAGTTGGCATACTTATGTCAGTCATAGAAGTCTTTCTACCTACCAGGAAAACCAATTTTGCTATAGTAAACCTATCAAGGTCATATTGACCAATGAAGTAAAAATCACTTTCATTCATTCATACATTCAACATTTTGTAAACAGACCAGAAATTAGCATTTTTAATAATGATGCAAGACAACGTAAATGTCAGACTGACATAAAGATACAAGGAAATGTAACGCTACCAACTCAATAAGAAACTTAAATGAGAAAACTAAGCAGAAATGGGTAGACCCAAACACAAAAAGGGGTTTTCTTTATATGCAAAATTATAAATCACTTTAAATTTCCTAAACATGAATATTATTCATATTTAAGACAGACGTTTTGCAAAATAACTTATCAGCTGATACACATCTCAGAACAGTTTAAACTCTTCATTCCCAAGTTATCCCCTAAATACAAGCAAATTTATGGGTTTGGCCTTTAAAACACAGTATGATTTTTTTATTGTCCTTTTCTCTATTGAAAAAACCAGACATATTTTGTTAAATACTTACACTTTAGACAGAACTGGCTTGAAAACAGAAATACAATCAACCTAAGCATCAAACAAAGGTAGACAGATGGGTGGATGGATGGATGGATAGATAAGCTAATAAATAAATCACTGAGAACATAAATGGAAGCTAAGTTAAACAAGAGGAGAGTAAATTGATGTCTGCTCTTTAATTAATATCACAATATTATTCAAGGATAAATATTATGCAACAGTACTTCTCAACTGCCAGTTTTCCTTACATTACACTATCAATTTTCTAGAAAAATTCCTCAAAAAGTAGAACTGCAGTAATGTCAAAAATGTATCCCAAGACAAAACTAAGTAATGGGGCTAAAAAAGAAGCTCAAAATGAAAAAGGTTCACAATGTGCTATATATATTTCAACTTCTTCAACAACTTGGTCCTCATGCATAAAAAGGGCTTAGATATTTTGTTAGCAAAGATAATTTCAATACAGATAACCCAAAAGGTTCTCAAGCCATTTTTTTTAAAAGTTGACAAACTATTTGAAATTATCCAACATAACCTAATGAAAACTCTACTAATTAAACTTATTACTTAAAAGATTAGAAAGTAATATCACTATAACCCCTGGTTGAAAAAATAAAAATAAAATCTTACTTTCTTTTTATCAAAGTATATATGTTCATACTGTACAAGAATTATGTTTGCTACCACGGTGTGGTAAAAAAATAATTTAATCCCAAAGATATCCATGTCCTAATCCCGGGATCCTACAACTGTTACATTACATGGGAAAGGAGAATTAAAGTTTATATGGAGTCATGGTTCACAGGCGGCAAGATTATCCTGGATTATGTCAACTGGCCCAAAGTAATCAACAGGGCACTTAGAAGTGTAAGGGGTAAGCAGGAGAGTCAGAAGGAGATGACTAGGGAAAAATGGTCAGAGAGCTACAACTGGGTTGGCTTTTTTTAAGATGGAGGAAGGGGGCCATGAGCCAAGGAATGTGGATAGCTTCCAAAAACTAGAAAAGGAAAGAAAATGGATCTCTCCTAGAATAAACAGTCTTGCCACACTTTGATTTTAGCCCAGCAAGATTCAGGTCTTTTCATCATAGTTTCATCTCTAGAACTACCAAATATTAAGCGTATAACATTTAAACCACCAAGATTACGTTAATTAGTTAAAACAATTATAGAAATTTAATGCACGTGGCAATTCCTCATACATAAGACCCAAAATAAGAATAACTGATTGTCTTTGAGACACAGCATTCCCTCAACTACTTTCAAGTTCTTATCATTATCCTTCCGAATCATGTGCCACAGGTGTATTCAGCCAGGACTTCTAATATACTTATAGGTTTTTAATTAAACATATTTGTAGCTTTAAAAAAAAAAAATCACAAGCTAGCCTATTCAACATTTTCCATATAATTTCATTTTATATATTTATTTGTTTATTTACAGACAGGATCTCATTCTGTTGCCCAGGCAGAAGTGCAGTGGCATAATCTTGGCTCACTGCAGTCTCAACCTCAACCTCGCTGAGCTCAGGTGATCCTCCCACCTCAGCCCTCCGAATAGCTGGAACCACAGGCGTTGCACCACTATGCCCGGCTAATTTCTGTATTTTTTGTAGGAACAGGGTTTCACCATGTTGCCCAGGCTGGTCTCAAACTCCTGCGCTCAAGTATCTTCCCATCTCAGTCTCCCAAAATGTTGGGTTTACAAGCATGAGCCACTGTGCCCAGCCTAATTTCATTTAACTTAAAATCTACTCTGCAGTAATCACAGTCTAACAGGAATATTACATTATGTTAATGCTAAACTGTTCCAAGTTTCGTTTAAGAAATATGAATGTAAGAAAATCTGGAAATAAATCTAAAATGGTAGATTCTAGGCTAAAAAAACTAAATTAGTAATATTCAAATTTTCAAATAAAGACTTAAGATAAAAAACTCATCAAGGGTTCACATAGTTATGGTTCAACATACATTTTTCTTTTTTTGGTAAAATCAGATACGGTGAAATGTAAAGATAGTATCAATTCAATAAGTTTTGACAAATATATATATTTATATATATATTTACTTGTGTAAATATATATACCTGTGTAACCAACAATCAGGATAGGAAACATTTCCATAACCTGAAGAAACTCTTTCCCATTCTTTCCAGTCAATCTCTACCATCCACAGATAATTTATTTTTTAATATCCAGCTTAATACCTTACCATTTACTAATATATGTAAACCTTCTCTTTACAACACTTAAATTCTCAACTAAGAAAGCAATAAAGTCATTTATATATAGTTTTTTTTTTCCTTTTTTAGAGATGGGGGGGTCTCACCTATGTTGCCCAGGCTGGACTCCAAGTCCTGGGCTCTAGCAATCCTCTCACCTCAGCCTTTTACACAAACAAAATAAAAGTAGTTACTGATGGAACTCCCAATTTCTAGAACCACTAACATCAGCAATACTTCTTAAGGAAGATTATACACTTTTGTACGAAAATAACCAGCCAAAACCTTCAAAACTACTTCTATTTCCTGTTAGAAACACCTATTAGCAAAACATACCTATTTTGCAACGTCGAGTCAACATTAATACATGCCGCATTAACTATATCACTGACTACAGTGATGAAAACCCGAGTTTACAAAACATTCAGAAACTATTAAAACAGGTAGGTAAAAAACATTAGGTAGATACCTGTACAGATATTACAGTGAATTTGGAATTGTAAGCTTGCATGCATACAAGGGGAAAAAAATATTCCTAAATTTGAAATTTTCAGTGAAAAAATAAGTGGCTCAGGGCACTACAAATAAATTTCATAGATAACGTATTCATAAATCAACCTTGGGAAGTCTAGTCTATGTCTTGTCTCTACTACGCCCCTTACCTTCAAGCTGCCCCTCAGTGAGAATGCACTTGGGAACACAACAGAGCATATTACAGCTCAAAATCACGCACATACCTACACTACTCAAAGAAAACACTGGCAGTGTCACACATAAGAAAGCAAAAGAAAAAAAAAGACAATCAATTCTGCATGGCATTTAACATTTTAATTGACATTTTTCGTCTTATTTAAAACCATATAAAACCCAGAAACAGCTTGACTCCAAAGCACTGCATCTTTCTAACAAAAAAAGTACACTGGGCACAGAAAGAAAGAGATTACCCTCCATACCAAAATTTTTCACTTTTATAAACCTTTCCGGTTAGAAAGCCAAGCATCTATTAAGGTGAGGATAAACCCGGGCACCGCCACCACCACCACGGCCTCTGCCTCTAAAACACAAAGGAATCCCCGGACTGTGTGGGAACGTCTCTGTCCTTTCCTCCCTCCCTTTCAGCAAACTTACAGGACAAGTTTTAAGTCTCGAGCTACAACACTATGAACACTTTTCCAAGAAAAGAGATGCCAGGGAAGCTGGCCACCTATCGCTATGAGTGGTCCGCCCCCTACCCCTACCTGCCCGCGCGGCGCCGGACTCGCAGCTCCGCCTTTTGGGGAGGTCTCCGCGGCCGCCCAGGCGCCACAGTGGGCAGCTGCGGTCGACCCCTCCGGGATTGGGGGCAGGGCGGCCTCCGCGGCTATCCCGGGAGTCCCGCTCCGACACCGCCTCCCCTGGGGAAGCCGCTCGCAGAGAGGCAGGGACCCAGGCAAGGGATGCGGGCAAACAAGCCAAGGGCTCGGCAGAGGGGCGTGACCGCCAGTTGGCCGGGCTGAGCGAGGTGCCAGAGGGAAGCCCGCAAGGTACGTCTGCGAGAGCCGGGTGCGGACGCGGCAGGGGGGAAGGGGGGCGCTCGCTCTCTTACCGCCAGGTCCGGATTGCGGCTGTCCCTGTGTGACACGGCTCGGATGACCCCCGCTCGCCAGCCGCGTCCGCTCTCCCAGCGCTCCGGACGCGCCTCGTCGCTGACCGCCACACACAGGAACCGCTTCCCCACCAGCTCCGGCCGCGTCTCCACCGCCATAGCCGTCGCTGCCGAAGCGACCGCTGCCTCCTCCAGTGCGAGGGAACCGGTGAAACCTCGCTCCTACCGGCCGCTCATGCTGAGGAGAGCGAACCGGGGCACGGCAGCGGCCCCGAACGAGCGCAGACTCGGGGCGCACTGGCCGCTCTGCCCCGGACACAGCGACCTCGGTCCCTCCCCCAAACACTCCTCTGGAATCCCAGATTCGCAGCGTTGGGCTGCAGCGCCACACAAGAAAACTGAGAGAAAACCCAACACGGCCGTCGAACACCCAGAGGCAGCCCAGCCGCCGCCACCGCACCGCGGCCAGTACTGCTCCGTCTCCGTCCCCGGGCAGCGGCGACGCGCAGCGCGTCTCCTTCCGCCGGCGCGGGCGGGGCAGGAGCCGCGGGAGGGTCGGCGGAACCACCGCAGACGGAAAGTAGTGCCCAGCCTTGCGGAGGCGGCGGCCGCCACGGGGTCCTCCGAGATCCAGAGGTGGCGGCGGCGGCAGACCAAGAAATGAAGCCGGCCGCGGGGAAGTAGGCGACAGCTATTCAAAGCTTTTGGGGGTCTACCTGTGTATTCGTTGCTCCCTCAGAAGTGGAGGTGAGGGGAAAGTGAAGTGTAGTGGTTCCACTTTGATCACAAAATAAACTCCAGGGTTGACGCCTCACCCCCGGCGCGATGTTCAGAGCACACGGCGCCCGCCGCCTGAGTTAGCCTGAATTAGCAGTACCGCAGTACCAGCAGCAGAGCAGGACAACACTTCTACTGAAAACTAAGCCCCAAAGTCACAGCAGAACCAACCGTTCATGACTTCAAGGGAAAACGAAGGGGAAAATATCATCCTTTTCTTTTGTAGCGATACTAATTACATGTTTAAGCTATTCAGAGATTTAAATTCGTCACTGCTTTATTATAAGAACAGTAAATGCTCCGTGGCGGGCCCTTGTCAACGTCCTGAAATTTCACAAACCTTGTCTGCGACAGTCTTAGTGCTTTTAGTACTAGTACATACCTCAAACACACAGGTAGGTCGGATAATAACAGCAGAGAAAATCCCCAGATTCAGTTATTAGAAAATACCACGGAAACAAAAGGATTTTAACCAATCACAATTCAAGAAAATAAATTATATTTATTTCCCATCCAATTACAATAGGACTCCCTAACCTACACACAGATCTCTTGGAACACTCTTCTTTGATCAACTTCTTTAATTGTTATAAATCAAACCTCCCTACAGATGTCAGCGAGCAGTTCGATTTCAGGCACACTTTATACTGCTTTTTTATAGGTAGTTTTAAAAATCCCAGTTGTGGTTTTTCAGTGGCATTAGTGATTACAGTCCGCTTAAAAATTCTTCTAGTCCAATAAAATATTCTAAATTTCAGTCTCTTAGAGATTTTCCTGAACCTCTATTTTAAAAAAGTTTAGTAATCTGAATGTTTAAATAACTATAAGGCTTTTATCTGTTTTCTCTAGAACACTCAAGCTGGGCAATTTGAAATGGAGAAACATGACCACTGCTAATAGGTTAGAAACCAAAATTATAAGGAAGATGGATTTTAATAATCATGGTCGAATTTTGCTAATCTAAAGACCAAACACAGAACTGTAATAAATAGGCTGGGCGCGGTGCCTAACGTCTGTAATCCCTGCACTTTGGGAGGCGGATCACCTGAGGTCAGGAGTTCGAGACCAGCCTGGCCAACATGATGAAACCCCCTCTCTACTAAAAGTACAAAAAATTAGCTGGGGGTGGTGGCGCGCGCCTGTAATCCCAGCTACTCAGGAGGCAGCACTCGGAGAATCGCTTGAACCTGGGAGCCGGAGATTGCAGTGAGCCGAGATCGCACCACTGCACTCCAACCCGGGGAACAAGAGCAAAAACTCAGTCCCCCGAAAACAACAACAAAAAGCTCTAATAAATTAAAAAGGCAAAACATATCCAAAAATGCACATTGGCAAGTTGAGAGAAAAACTTAATTTTGCTTGGGCAATTTTATTTCCAAGTCCACTTTTTCAGTGCACACTGTATAATGAAGAATTACAGATGAAGATTTCTAAAATCAATGTAGATTAAGGAGCCAGTAAAGTGGCTTGGTGACAATAATCCAACATATGTAAGGATACAAGAGAGCCGGGCGCGGTGGCTCACGCCTGTAATCCCAGCACTTTGGGAGGCCGAGACGGGCGGATCACGAGGTCAGGAGATCCAGACCATCCTGGCTAACACGGTAAAACCCCGTCTCTACTAAAAATACAAAAATATTAGCCGGGCGCAGTGGCAGGCGCCTTAGTCCCAGCTACACGGGAGGCTGAGGCAGGAGAATGGCATGAACCCGGGAGGCGGAGCTTGCAGTGAGTGGAGATCCGGCCACTGCACTCCAGCCTGGGCAACAGAGCGAGACTCCGTCTCAAAAAAAAAAAAAAAAAAAGAGTAGGCAGATCAACATCCAGATACCAACTCATCAATGATCTGCTTTGTGACCATGCGCATGATGCAATTGTAAAAATGCAAAAATGCCTGAATCCTAATTTTCAGTGATATCCTAGGAGCAAATGAAAAATAGATAAAGTCATTTGAGAAAAACATGCAAATTCATCAGTTATTACATAAATCCCACTCACCAAATTACATTCTTAGGAGTATAGGTTGCTGGTTGCCTTACATAAATAAAAACTGCCAGCTGTTTTCAATTTTGTAGGCAAACTGCTCTACATGGGCCCTTAGGAACTCCCACTACATGTTGAATTCCACCCTTTTCAGTCTTCTGAAAAGCACGTAATCCAACAAACCAATCAAAATATTTCATGTATAGAAACAAAGTTTTTCAGGAGGGCATATATCCCTGTAATATTTTTAATCAAATATCTTAATATTCTTAGAACTATAGGCCAAATTCTGTTCTACTAATCCCTTGACTACAGTCAATGCCTAGAGTTTACACTAATTCATGGATATTTTGCTGTTGGAAAAACTTAAAAGTACATTTTTAAAAATGTAGAATAAAAAGTCATTAAAGATTTTTTGCTTGTTTGCTGGCATTTTTTGCTTCGTTTTGTATCAAGGGGTATTTGTATTATTTTATTTTTGCCAGCAAATCATAACATTGTAAATAACAATGAATTAAAAAATTTTTTCAAGTCGGTTTTGAAACTTCAGAGTATTTGTTTCTTAATGTTTCCTTACATTCTTTACTTCCATAAAGATACTCGGAAACAGAAGAGTGATGGTATTTGTTTTCATTATACAGGCAGAAAGAATGACAGTGAAGTACTTAAAATAACTAAGTTTACTTATAGAAGCTGAAAATTAGAAATATAAATTAGATTTTCTAGTCTTTCCATCGCCACATGTAAATATGTCCATTAAATATGCCTACACACACATCAATTCAAGCAAACCTCATACATCAAATATCTTAATCTACACCAAAGATTGGGAGATTATTTGATTTTTTCCCTTTTTAGAAGTTCACAAAAATTTATTCATAAAAACAACTTGGGCTAGGTGGTGGCATGTGCCTGCTGTCCCAGCTTCTCTGGAGGCTGAAACTGGAGGATCTCTTGAGTCCAGGACTTCTAGTTCAGGCTGGGCAACATCACAAGACCCTGTCTCTAAAAAAATCTTTAAAATACAAAGAAACCCCACAAACTATTTCGTTTGTTTTTTAAAAAACTGACTTATAAAGGAAGAAAATGTATTCACTGCATAAGAACCATAATTATCTACTTAATTATCAGTGATTAACAGTTCATGAAGTTTAGTTTGAATAAGCAAAAGCCTAGTAGTTACAGATTTTTCACTTTTTGACTTGGTATGTAATTGTGGAAAGGGTCAATCTTCTGTTGTCATACATACTAGTATTTTATGCCACTATACATGTCTACTTTATCACAGATATTATCTAATATAGACAAAAAGTTTAACACATCTTTTGTAATAATATTAGCCACCACTTGTAGAACACCTACTATGTGTCAGACAGTATACTAAGTACTTTACATACGTAATCTCACTTTAAGGATGAGGAAAATGAAGTTTAGAGAAGTTCAGTAACTTGCCTAAGAATACACATGAAGAAACTGGTTTTCGAAACCAGATCTGTGATAACAAAGACTCCCTGCTATTAACTATTACACTAAAAAGTCACTTAAAAGAAACATGAAGGTCAGTTATCAAGTTGTTTCATCCTTATTTACAGTTTACTCATAATTGATGTGTTCAGTATTTATTTAGCACTTACTATGTGGGTCACATCCTGCAAGGTTCTGGAGATAGGACCTCTATTCTTGAGAAGCTCACAGTCTATCTGGAAAGATAGACAACAGAAATGCTTTGGTTTATTTAATTAAGGAACTATCAATAGAATTTCATCCAAATTTAATGCATTTTAATAAATATTTTTCAAATCTATTATAACTTAAGGCTTTTATTGTCAAATGTTAATAATGGACTGCTTTTATGAAGTCTTAGATTATATATATAGATATGGCTAAGAATTATGCAAGCCACTATTAAAATGAAGGAAACCAAGAGTTTCAACTGAATTATGCAAGTGGAAGACCAAGAATAAATGGAATATAAATTTATGTTCTTTTTTTAATTAAACTTCAAATAATTTGTATTTAGGGTTTGTATACCCTAAGCATTTATTTAAAATAAATTCCTCAATCATATTTATGATAATGAAAAATTAACTCAAATATCAAAATATCACTTCCTCAAGGAAACCATCCCTGATTCTCAGACTATGTAGTATTCCCCAATAAGAGATTTTCAAAACATGCCTTATTTGTCTTACTACTACAACTGTATTTACACCATTTATTGTGTAATTGATCATTTATATTTTTCCCTTTATTGGCTACATAAGCTCCATAAGGCATCTTTGTCTTGTTCACAACTATACTCCCAGCAGCTACTAGGCCTTGCTAAGAGATGATAATACATTTTACAGCATGAATGAATGAATATAGCAAAATGTACCTTTTTCTAAATCTAACCCAACTAAGAGGAACTTAGAATCTCAGACACAAATGAGAGTTCCTGTTCTTCCTACAGGGGTATTCATCATCTTCAAAATAATGTCTTCAATACATTATCTCATTCAATCATGGAGGTACAATGTTAACATGCTTCGACAGAAAGCAAGGTTTTTCCTGGGAAAATTTCTAAAGAACAGATACAGAAGGAAGAGTTACAATTCTCAAGAAAAACATTCATTTCATTACCAAACTACCAATTTAATACAAACCCAAAAATGATCCTATGAGTGTATATCCAAAACACTAGTCTATTCTTAGTCTTCTAAAAAGAACAGTCTCAAATAACATCCTTGATGGAGCCAATATACAAACATAACTTTCTGACTATCTTCTTGATGCCATGGAAGGAGGGAAAGAGAAGAAAAAAAGAAGATAAAAAAGAAATGAAGGAGGAAGTGAAGCAATCTCTATTGGGCCTTCTAATTGTATATTCTACACATCTGTTATCCAGTTTCCAGTTTAAATTCTGGCTGCATAGGAACATACCACTTCTTTTCAACATTCTCTTCTCTATTAAAAACAAGGTTAATTTTTAATGATAAAAAATTAAAAATTTAGAAAGAATACACAAAGCATTAGAAAATTCCTAATCTGCTCAGTGAGAAACTACAAGAAATAAAGAAATGGAAAGTTGCCATTGAGCACACAGTAAGTCTTCCCGGGGTGTCCCACAGCACTTTTTCTCTGTTCATCATCCCTCTCATAAACGCTCCAACTATTAACTACCATTAAAATATGCAAGTTTGCACTTTGCAAACAGGTTAGGTTCCAAAAGGGTCGTGTTCCTATTAATCTTACAAGCTTTCACTATTGTTACAAGTTAATAGCAGCAGAGTAAAAGTCTTC